ATCGTAGAATTGTGTGAAGATAGAAGCTGTTTGCCTCTATCTTCATCCTAGTTCTTTCAGCTCAGCTCCCCTGGCACCACCCAGAGTCCTCTCCATCCCAGCAAGGGGATGATGCAGTGTCCAGATTTATTGCTGAGATGCAAATGCTGCTAGAGGAATTAAAAACTAAATTAATCCCTGTGGTTTTCTGTAGTCTCTTGAATTTCAAACCCTTCATGTCCCCTCTCAGTTCTCTGTAAACATCTCACCATGCATCCTTGCTGAGGATGCTGCCTATGGGAGGATTTTTGTGCTTTTTTTTCCGCAGCGACAGTAGCAACTCACAGTTTTCACATCTACATTTTTCATTGGAAGGGTTATTTTTTTTTTGTTATTCTTTCACCCTTTGTTTTTAACCACAATTCAGCTGGGGATAGACCAGGCAGAAAGATTTCTGCATAAGAGAAATCATTAAAGCATTAGCCAAAAGGAGCCCATTGTTCACTAGGGAACTGGATGAGTGAAGACAGACTGAATAAATACTATTAATTTGCCGTTTCTCTGCTGCTAGCAAGCTTGACTTTTCATATCAGTTATTGATTGTGAATTTTACTGGATTATTTTGAGCAACATATGTCATAGAGCTGTAATGAGCTGATTGCTGTGCTTTGGGCCAGTTGTGGGAACACACATGGACGCAGAACCAAATTAGGATCCTGTTTACCCCTTCCTAAAACTCCTCTGCTTCTTTAGGGCCAGGGAAATAAAGAAAGCCATTGGATTTTGTTTATTTTACAGTGAAGGCATGGACAAAAGTGAGTTCACATGGGGTATTAATACATGGATCTTAGGTGACCAGTGCATATTTTTCCTTCCACTCGAAGTGTGACATAATGAATACTTCCAGTTACGGAAGGGAGTAGAAAACTGGGGGGGCTTGTAAACCTTTCCCATCAGTGTGTCGGTGGGATTTTGTCCAGCATCCTGAGGTGGAATAATAGGACTTCCAACTTTGCATTGGGCTGCAGTGGCAGGGCTTTGCAAGGGAAGCTAGCCTATCTTTGGCTTCATCTAACTCTCTTCTTCTTTCTGCTCTAGAAATTGCTGAAAATTACACTTTCAAATACAAATAAGTCCATCCCCAAGCAATTAGCAGTCAGAGAGGGAGGTAGTGGGGGAGGCAGGGCAGGGAGTGACAAACCCATCTCCTGCAACCTTTCTGTGCAGTTGGGTAAATAAGCTGCGGAGCAGCACTGTGCCCAGCTTTTCACCCTCTTTCCTAAGCAGGTCTGTTGCGAGACGTTTTCAAAGATATTAACCCTGCATACAGAGTGTGCCAGTCAGTAATTATGGAAATTAGTTGGCAATTAGATAATGTCACTCACTCTCCACATACAGCTGATAAGCAGTTGAGAGCCACTCCAAAGCAAGGGCGAGACCCCCTCTGTGGGCTGCTGAGCAGATGGCTCTGACCCGGCATTAATAGGCTGCTGTCAAGTTTGGGAAAGTGCGGTGGTTGGGTAGCACTTGCCCATGGCACGGCGGTGGGGGTGCCTCCCTTCCCCAGCTGGGGAACTTGTGCAGCTCTGTCGGTCCTGCGAGTGGGACGTTTCAATAATGCAAGTGGGTGTGTTTCCTGCGGTGGGTTTTGCGTGTGCGAGGTGCTGAGCCATCTGTTCAGTGTGCAGGTTCCTCGCTGTCGCAGCTCTCAGCTGGGCCAGGGAGGCAGTACAAGCTGTTAGAAGTGCAGTGGAGTTAACTCGCTTGCTGGTGTCCATCATGAAGTCTTCTTTTGCAAGATGTGATCATGCTGTGACAAAGTTTGAGATTTCTCAGAGTTAAAATATGTAAGAAAATAATCTGGGATTCTATAGTTATTGTCCCAAATTGTAATGTATTGCTATGGTAGCAGTGTGCTGTATGAGGCTGCTAGGGTAGTATTTATGCTAAAAATAAAATGGTAAAGCAGAAAATTATTCATTCTCAGTGTGTCTTGGAGGATCATTGTGAGAATGGGTGAGGCACACAGAACCGGTGTGTCAGGATTTACTCTCTCAAGGTTAGGATTCAGATCCTGCCTGCTGCGATAAAGGGCACTGGGTCTTCTGAGTTTTTCTTGAAGACCCTGCTACTATGTAATGAGATTTGCTCTCACAGACTTTACTGTGTGAGACACAAAACTGGAATAATGGGAAGTGCCGTGAGTCAGGAATGACGTGTGCTGACAGAACTCTGGAGGAGCCACAGATGGCCCCAACCTGTTAGTGGCTGGGTGTGGGCAGCCTTCCCAAAATCTGAGCTGCAGTGTCTAAAAGGCAATGAAGCACCCAGCAGTGACACCTATATTTCATGGTTTTTGTGTCATCTTCCTCTTCTGAAACAGAGCAGGCGCTGTCTTCTTTCAAAACAGCTAGGAAGGGATTACCTTGGCTTCTCTCAATCAAAACAGAGAGGGATTGCCTCGGCTTCCCTCTTTCAACAATACTATTCCTATTTAACCATTTCTGCCTGGTTTCCCTTGTTAACTGTGCCTTTTGTATTCTCCTGATGAACTTGTATCTTTACAGAAATCTGTACCACAGAGGTAGCCTACTCCCTTTACTGCAACTTTGAAATAACCCAAGGATTGAAGCGACCCATGGAGTCTGAGATTTCTTTCTGTGTGTAATGCAGGGTTTCAGCAGCCTGGAGTTGGGAGAGATTGGTAGGCATTTTGGACAGATGTTTGAACTGTACATGGACATACACATCTCAGCTGTGGTTATCTATCATGTTCACACCTGCTGCTGCTGTGATTTACAGCATCTTTCACTGGTTATCAAAGAGTTGGTCTTTTAAAACAGGTAGAGAAATGTAGTAAGACTGAGGGCTGGCTTTGATGCAAATTGTGCAATTCACCCTGCCCAGGAGAACTTAAAGCTTGGGTGAGAACTCTACTGCATTGAGTTCTCTGTGAGTGGTTGATGCCATACTGGGCTTGTCTCCCTTCTCAGTTCAGGGTGAGCATAGAGCTGTCTGATGGAGCAGTGAATTTTGCTGTGGTGGTGGTAAATGTTTCAGGGAACTGTGAACCTGTGAGCTGTTGGAAGCACATTGCTGGCTAATTTACACACATTATGATATTCCTATTCCCATCTCATCAGTAACTCCAGGCTTGGGTCATCACTTTTCACACTTACCTTCCTCTCACTCTATTCTCCTTCTCCGTAAATCATGAGCTATTTTAGTGGATCCTCTAGGGAGCACAGAGAAGAAAGGTAAATAAACAACAGCCACATAATTTTTTTTTCCAACTGATTTTTCAATGCCCCCCAACACCCCCATCAGTTGAGCCAGCATCATGATTATTTGGAAGACAAACAGTTTGAGCATTTGGATCTGTGATTTTTTTTTTCCATTTTACACCTCTCCTAACACCTCCTTTTTCCTCTTCCATTATTATCAGCCAAACTGTTAACAATTAAAAGGAATTATCTTCCCTCTGGTTTTGACTTGATTTTATTTGTGTTTATAGCAGTTTAGATAACACACTCCCCTCAGGCAGCTGCAGGGAACAGGCCTGGTTTCCACTGGGCACTGAAAGCTCACATTTCTCTCCAACTTGCGGGTTTTCTTTTAATTGATCTCTTTTGTTTTCTAAGTGACTTGTTTTTCATGCTGGCTAAATTTATCAGACTGACAGCTCTGGAGACTTATGGCTTCTGCAGGTCGCTAAGGCAGGTGAGGCTGTGACTGGGTGAACTCTCCCCTCGGTTTCCTAGTGGTTCTGCTCCAGCTCGACCTCTGCCCTTACCAAACAGAAACTTTTCAGCACTGACTGTTTCTGCAGTGTCTGTGGGCCTTCTCCTTCAGAGCAAGGTGGGCAGTGGGGATGAAAGGCATCTACTGTGAGCAACAGCAGCCCAAACAACTCTCATTGTCCACAGCACAAAATATTTTTCCCAAGCAAATATTGCCTCACAATATTTGTGTTCCAGTTTGTGAAAACTGTGTTCATCCTGGCTTCTGTGAGGCTCAAGGCCTTGATTCTCATCACCTCCTTTCCTGCTTTGTATCTATGCTAATGTTAGCCATTCCCAGAGCTGTTCTTGTGCCCAACCCATTTTTGTGAACAAACACGTCTGTTGATAGAAAACTTACTTTCCTTTTAGGTAGACTTTTCAAGGAATGAGCATAGCTTTGTGCTGTCTTCTTTACCTGTCACTTAAAACATCCTCCTACACTAGGCATACAGTCACCCGCATGCAAATATTCAGAAGTGAGTTAAATTCCAGTGTTAACAGATGTAACTCAGAAAAGGCAGTTGCAATTGTGTGCTGTTAGTTAGGGGTGAATTTGGCCTTTTTGCCAAACAACTAGACCGGGGTAAGTGGTTAAGTGTTTAGACAGTTCTTAGCATCTAAGCTGCAAGTTTGCTAGCATCTAAGCTGCAGGTTGCCATATATAATTTACATAGCACATGTTTCCAGGTTGCAGAGGTCCCTGTTGGAGTTTCTGAAGTGTATGAGACATGTAAAGTAAAAGCAGCTATTGCATGACAGGCTGACAGCAGGGTTGTCTTCTCTAATGCTTGCTTGGTGTGCTAGGAAGCATAATGAAGGCAATGGAATGGGAAGTTTGAATAATGTCTTCTCTTGCCCTGTATCAACTTCTAAACTCTAAGGAACTCTGGTCTTTGCCCTAAGCATTTTCATGGGAAAGCTCCAGCACCATTTCTCAGTTAAGTCAATGAGACTGCATCCATTAATAAATGTTAAATAATATGGTGTGTCTTTACATTGCTCAGCATTGTTATGTGTGCAGATCACTTTGTGAGTTCTCTATTAGTCCTCTTAGTTTTTAGAACATAGATGTCCTTGCTGCTTTGGAGAACTGCATAGCCAATTGCAAGCATGAAGGAGTGTCTAGAGTATCAAGAAATGTAAATGAGTTATTGCACAAGATGTTAATAAGCTTCATGGTAAAGATACGGTGAGTAATAGGACTAACTTCTCCCTCCCTTTCTTCTCTCGGCCCCACAGGTCCTGCAAGCTCCGTGAGTGCCAAGCAGTGAGTTATGGGCTGGGTATCCGCCAGTGCATCATGAAGATTGACTTTATTTTTGCCCTCTTGAGGTTCACATGCTTTATGAATTTGCTCTCTCTTCTGTCTCACTGCCACCACCGTCAATATTGTCATCACTTCTAGAAAACAAGAATTTTAGGCTTGGACTTCAGCTCTACCTTTCCTTACTTCTGGAACACCAGTATCACCTTTGTGTTCTACCAAAACAAATCACTGTGGGTTATTTTGCCCTTCACAAAAGTACACTATCTGGAGAAGTCTCTTCATGTATCCTGTGCTTCTGAGATAAAAGCTTCTGAATCCTAAAGGATAATTGAGATCTTTCCCTGCGGAGGAGACATTTCCTCTTGGTCACGTGAACGTGCTATCTCAGTTTCCACTTACTCTCCCACTCTGTCACTCTTTCTGCTCTCCTCCTCTTCTCTTTGGATTTAGCACTTGGTGTTGACTGCTGGGGTTCTCCTCCCAGTAGTGTGGCTTCTGTTTTTCTCCTAGGGAAGAGCAGGTTGAAACAATGGGCTTCACTCTGCATTCTGTCTACTTCACCTTGAAGGTGAGTTTGCTACTGGGCTCCTTGCTGGGTCTCTCTTTGGGTCTGGAGTTCATGGGCATCCCCAACCAGTGGGCCCGCTACCTCCGCTGGGATGCCAGCACTAGGAGCGAACTCAGCTTCCAGTTCAAGACCAACGTCTCTGCTGGGCTGCTTCTCTATTTTGATGATGGTGGTGTCTGTGACTTCCTCTGTCTGTCCCTTGTTGATGGGCGCATCCAGCTCCAGTTCAGTGTGGACTGTGCAGAGACAACAGTTATCACAGACAAGCAGGTAAATGACAGCAACTGGCACTTCCTGATGGTCAGCCGCAATCACCTTCGGACGGTGCTAGTGCTGGATGGCGAGGCCAAGCCGGGTGAGGTGCGTCCACAACGCCAGTATATGAATATCGTCAGTGACCTTTTTGTTGGTGGAGTCCCACTGGACATCCGTCCTGCTGCCTTGACTCTTGATGGTGTTCTGAGTGAGCCTCCATTTCAAGGATTTATCCTGGATCTGAAATATGGCAACTCTGAGCCACAGCTCCTGGGTAGTCAAGGGGTCCGACTGGAAATGGAAGGACTTTGCTCAGAAAACCCCTGTGAAAATGGTGGCACTTGCTTCCTTCTGGATGGCGAGCCACACTGTGACTGTTCAGCCACTGGATATGCTGGCAAGCTGTGTTCTGAAGGTAAGAGAATACTTCCATGCTTCCCATTGATCTTTACATAATCCAAAGAGTTAATTTGTTATTTAGCAGGGCTATGACGGAGTTCTTATTCCTGCTGGTGGTTATCAGAGGAATTAAAAAGTTCCACCATTCCTATTTCAGCTGGAAGTAATGAAGTGGGAGTAGATAGCATGAACAATTGCAAGAAGCACCTTTCTGAAAGGATGCTGCATTTGTAGCATGGACAGATTTTCATCATCATCATTCATTTCATCAGCAACTTCTTAAAAAGGGTAGAGAACATAATTGGTAAATACAGACGTACCCTAGGTTAGTGTTGGTAAAAGCAATGGCTATTCCACTACCCTGTGTCCCTGAAAACTGATTGAAGTGTCAGCAAACAGGAACCATGTATAATAATGTAACTGATTGACAGGACATTGCATATGTTATTTGATGTTGGCTGTTGCTAGTCTGTGGAAGCCCCATGCTTCCCTTGAATTGCTTGCATACTAATTGCTGAATGGCACCTTGATTGTTTTAGCATCCTTGATTAAATTGCTTAAATTGCTTTTTAAATTGATCTTAGTGTTGCAAAGAGAAGAGGGATTTGCGTGTTTCTACATTGTTTCTACTCTCTTATAGAATTTGAGTCTGAAAGTTTTAAGTCATGCCAACCCCATGCTGAAGTGTATTTCAGAGTTTTTCCCTTAGTCTTTAGCAGTGTGATGGTAATTAACTCTGTGTGTGCAGGAGACTTAAGTAAGTCAACTGGATATCCCAGTGTGAGTTTGAGAATCTCATCACACCATTTTTTGTGACATTTGGCATTAAACACAACAGTTTAAGCCAAAGATTAAACCTGGACAAGAAGTGTCCAATCTGAAGGGAAAAAAAAAAACACCCTGAAATTTTGTCAAAATAGAAATACTTGCAATAATATATTTTCACAACTAGCATTTGTTTACTTATTTTGGCAATGAAACTAGATTAACCGGAGTGTAGTATCTAGAATGTGAGAAGTGCTGAAAATAGTTTTTATACTCTTGATATTCAAACAAAAAGCCCTACAGCTTATGTTTGCAGTATAGATGGAGAAGCAAATATGTTTTTATAGGAAGGGAAGGTTTGAAAAATAGACATAGCATCCATATGTACATTCATTTTGAGGTCATTTTAATGATAACAAAAAATTTGTCTTTATATCCAAACAGCACAGTAACAGTACATGACCATTAGACGGGAGTTGTGAGCCTGTGAAGTCCTGAACACCAAAATTCTTTCTAGCTGTTTGCTCTGAACTGATTAGGTCCAAACTAATAATGAGCCAGCACTGTTTTCTGTGCTTGAGCCATGAGTTACATGGGGCTGTAGAGACTGCTCAGTGTGACTGGGCAGTTCAGGAGCTGGGCCTTGGAGTGTTTGCTTAGAGAGCAAACACACCTCATATCTAAATGCCAGTTATGGTGATAGAAGATTTAAGAGCAACACAGGCATGTGGACCCTGAAACATAAAGCTGTAAGGCTCTTTCTAGTGGTGGGCCATTGGATCCAGACTCCACGGGAGCTGCTCAAGGCATAACTGCATATGGTTTTCAGTGAACATCTTGAGAAAAGAGTGTAAGAGAGCAGAAATTCCATGTACCTGTGGGTCAATTGTGAGAGCTCTAACCAGGGCTCAGGTGGTGGAGTTTCTGCATTTCCTGGGTGGGTGGAACAATCTGAAATCCATCTTCTAGTGAATCCAGGGATATTTCTGTTGTAGACACCATGGATCAAGCAGTGCTATTGTTACCTTTTGAAGCTGTGAGTCACCACTGTTGTTTGTTTCCTATAGTGATTCATCAGTTTCCAGCCGAACCTTCTATTAAGGGTGAGCAAAGAAGTTTGTCACGATGTGCCTTCTTAAGTAAACATTTTTAACTTACTCTTAGCTGGTGTCTGTTCACTCTCAGAGAAGATACTGCGCAGACAACTTTTGCAATGGATCAAATGTAGAGATTTCCACAGTCATTATCTTGTTTGGTTCTTGTTTTCTCGTTTATTACTAAATCGTGTATATTTGGTTTACGTTAGAATTTTATAATCAGCCTTCTTTTATGACCCCTTTATGCTGTAGCAGTGGTGATTTCTTTGTGTTAAATGCTGTCGCTGAAAAATGTTCCACTGTCTGTGCAGATTGTGAGAAGGGGAAAAACAAAAGAAAAGCTGTGTAGTAAGTGGAAACAAGCAGACAAAGAGAAGTGTCAAGAAAACAAAACAGGTACAAATTAAGTTTAGCTGCCTTTTTATCTGACTTTGAAAAATACAGCAAACTCCAAAATACTCCAAACTCCAAACTCTTTCAATTCTGTGAGTGTGGCAGAACCTCCACTGATAAACAGTAGGATGTGGCAGGAATGGCACAACTACATACAGGCACTTCCCGCCTGTGGCTTGATTGGCCATTAAACAACTTGTATTTTCTTTGTTTGCTTTTTTTTCCCCCAAAGAGATTGAGATGTTTGTTGTCAGAACTGTTGCTTTTGTTTTGTTTTCTTATCCTGCCTCTGGATGTTTGCAGAAATAACATGGTTATTTTATTCCCAGTCTCATTTTTGAAAAAGATGTGCTCTTTCAACCGGATATCAACAGCTCTCTTTTTGGGGGGATCCTTAACTCCATTACAGTATTTACTAGTCTGTAGTCTGTGTGCGTATTTTCATTTTGTCACCAGAGCTGGCTCTTATACTGGGAACTGATGGGATCTGATCAATAACAAGTTCTGTTTGAACAGCTAAATGTGATATGTACTTTTTTAATAATGAGTTCTTTTGACAGTGTCCAGGCCATTACTTGGCTATTGACTGATACCCATGCCTGCAGATGGTAAAACCACAGCAAACTTGTTTATTCTGTGGCCAGAGATATAAGAAATAAATAGAGAGTGGAACCTGCTGATTCTGTAGTGTGACGGATTGAAGCTCCATTTACAGTATTAGGGGCTACTGTAAGTCCAAGTGCAGTTCCAGTTATAGTGAATGCCAACAGAGAACAACCACTCCATATTGAGATAAGACTAGGAATCCTGTCTGGAATGTGCCCCCAATGTGCAGAAAAGATTTTGGCACTTCATGTGCATCTGGAGTTAGCGGGATTGTGTCTATCACGGCAGCCACATGCCCAGATGGGTAGCTGAGCAGGTACGATTTCTGTGTCTGAGTTTATACAGTGGGAGTGCAAATGCGTGCACAGTTTGTAAGGGTTGGCTGTTTTGAATAAAATGTGAGACTATTTTTATTGCAGTTGGAGTAAACTGGTTCATTGAATCTGACAGCTCTGTAGGGTACAAAGGATGGCTGATTTGAGTAGCAATTAGTTTGTATGTTTCTGGGCAATGGTGGCATTAGACGTGAAAGCTGAACTCAGAGACATCTTATCCTCTAATAAACCTCATCAGTCTCTGTGGGATCAGGCTGCTGCCAAGAGAATGATGTTCCTGTAGAATTTGAGCAGCACAGATACATTTATGTTGCTAGAAAAAACACCAACAAAACCTTCCCCATGCAAATTTTGCAAACTGAGCTGCTGGAGAAGCCAGATGAGCATGTTCCTATCTGCTCCTTCAGGATCACGCTGTCAGTCTGCAAGAAATTTTCTCATTCTCCGACACTGCTGTACTTTGGCACAAGACTTCACCCCTCTTCCAAGACTCCTTCTGGACTTGGTGAGAAAAGGTGAACAGAAGATGTGCTTAGAAATGACACTCTCTGCTTGTAGTTGCAGAACCAAGACGTTGATGTGATCACCAACTTCACAAAGCACCATGCTGAAGCCTTTGTCTTGCCTGCAGGGGCTGTTTCTAAACGAAGCCTGAATAGGGGCTTGATTGCACCTCTTCCCTTGATTACAGAGCAAGATTTCCTGGGGATGCTGCCTGCTGAATGACAGAGGAGCCCGTTGCTCTGTAATTATCACACTTTTAACTGCAGCGGGAACAGATTTTTCTATAGTCCCTCAGCTTCGTTTAAAGTGACAAGTTACTGCAGGATTTATCCTCCTCCTGCCCCTTCGCAACAGCCCAGTCTTGGCTGTATCTGAAGGGACTGCTTAGCCTCTCTTGCAGTCACTGTATCTCCCTTCCAGCCACCCTAATCTTTATAATACGGGGGGGGCTAGTTTGGCCCTTTGCCATGAGCCTGATGGTTGCACTTAATTTGCATATACATTTACATACATTTTGTAATCAGAAACAAATGAACATGACCACAATATTTGCTTCCATTTGCATATTCCTTGATAGATGAATATAAATTGGTTTTTGTTGAATTCACCAGCAATAAACAGTTGCAGGCTCTTCATTTGGTCTTCTGCTCTGCTGTTGTAGAGGACAGCAGGCAGCTCTAGGACACACTTTGGAGGAGCCCGGATCTTCACTCACCAGTGCAAAACTCTAGAATTGATGGTCTTCAAGGTCTGTGGAGTAAATATTACAAAGGGCAAATCTGCTGTTTTATGTCACTTCTCATGTCACAGCACTGGCCATCGGGCAGAAAGCTGGTAAGAACTCTGCTCATGACTTAATTTTGCAGCAATTTGTTTTTCCTCCTCTCTTTCTCTTGCTCATTCTTCCTGGTTTAAGTTCCTTTGGTCGTATTTAAAATTATAATATTTTTTCCAGTCTGGTTGTAAATTTTTTATGTATTGCCAGATGAGCACCAGAGAAAGACAATGTGTTAAGATATTAATTGATGTTTATGAAGTGCTTTGAAACTCCAAAGTGCAGTTTAAGCACCATTTGTTATTCTTAATGATTAATATTAAAACTGAGCGGGAGCCTCAGAATTTGGATTTGTATCCTACATACCCTTTCACAGAAGATACCTAGGACCCATGTTCCTTCACTAAGCATAGACTGCCTGCAACTCCAGAGCTAGCTGGATTTGTTTTGTGGTCTCCCCTGCTTTTAATGCAGGGGAGCGTCAGGGAGATTACAGGACTCTGCGTGGTGAGTGCCATTGATTCAAATAGTCTATCTGCAA